AGTATCGCTTTATGAAAAACTGTTCTTCCATCTTCATGTATATGCATGTTACTGTGTGTGTGTGGGTGTGCATGTGTGTGTATGGATGTTTGACTAATTGTGCTGAATATATCCTTGCTTTCAGTTGGGTCGTATGACGTCGGAATCGCCGTCTCAAGTGGTACATGCTCAGCGAGTCTACTCTTGCGGTTCTGCAGGTCGTTGTCTCCGTCGAGTTGTCGAACTTCGAGTGTCGCCAATCGAGGGTTGTCGGTGCCAGGTCAGGTTGCGTGAGCGTTCAGAGGCCTGTTGTTGCCCGACGGTGATGGCTGAAGTCCAGACGGCCGAAGTGTCGGGCAGACGCTGCGATGAGCAGAAAGGTGTGCTCATCCGGTCTCTCGTCAATTGGCGGCTGCATGCCGGCACATGTTGGCCCATCATTCGGGAGCGCTATGAGCCAATCGGTGGGTAGAACTTGTATGATTTTTACTCTCCTTGCACTCCCCTCAAATGCCAGTATTCGCGTCTACCCATCCGAGGCAATTTAGTTACCAAGTCACGAATATAGACGAGCAAGTGGAGAAGAACCCAGTCTCTGGCTGGCCACTCTGGCAGAAGGTGTAGATTTGTCCACTTTCGGTGGCTCACTTCTGCCGAATGGCTCTGTTTCGCCTCAAAGCCAAGAGAGCCAAGGCGAGGTTGACATGGCTTTTTTAAAGTTGAACTATGAACTCGCGAAATGTATATTCGAAAGACTGCGGTCCAGATTGTGTTTGTAGCAGATGAAAGTCAGAAGAGATCATTTTCAGTTGACATGGAGCGCAGAACCGATCTTTTACTTTTTTCTAATAAGCAGACAGCGGCGAGTTTGTGTTAAGCAATCATTTTCACGGAATTGAAGAACACGGCAAAAAATAAAAGCCAAAAGGCATAAAATGTGCTGGAACTACTAAAATAGGTCTGCTTTTATGCTTTTCAGTAAAGTTCATTCCGAACAAAAGGATGCCGGATTCTTTTGCAAATGTGAAGCAGGCGAAAATGTGGACAGAGGGCGAGGGTCCGGAAAAATCGGACCAAATTCGCAGGAAATCTGCAAAAATACATTTTATGTTATTCGAATTGCTCGGTGATCACAGTAGCCATTGCCTATTGTTGAATGACTCAATTACAATACAGTAATTAGCATTTAGGCAGAAGCGCCTCGGCAAGGATGACTTTTACTTAGCTATTGTCGCTCACGCCAAAAATAAACCCATTCTACAACAAGTATGGTGGGCTTAATGTTGACAAAATTCGAAAATAATAAACAATTTTCATCTCTTTTCGCCTCAGTTTGTGCTGGACGCGAAAGTACCACAAGCCTCGGTGCCTGCACGCATGGTCTTCAGAAGCATTTGGTCACCTCCACCAGACGTAGTGGATGCATCTGCCAGGTGGAAAAACGCATAATACTAAAGCCATGTTGTAAGTAAAGTGCAAATTAGCATATTTATCCATTGAATTTATACTTTTTTTTCTGTCAATCTATCAACAGTGTACAGCTAAAAATGAGCCTGGTTAGCAAAGAATGATCGATTTGAGCCAAATTTAGATGAGGGTCAGTTTTGGAACTATTCTAAATTCCATAATAAGAGTTTAGTTAATTGGGGTCAATTGAGTTAATTTAAGGATTAAAAGTGTAATTTTTTTAATAAATATGTTTCATTTATCGTTGGAGCTGCTGAGAAAATTATAGGCAAGGTAGAAAATATAACACTTTATTGGCAAAAAACTAAACTCACCCAAATAAATCACCTTAAAATCAGCTTGAGTGGACTGGACATACCTAAATGGAAAATAGGTAATTGCTTCGATTATAATGCTAAATAAATGTTCGCCATATAAAAAATGACACCATTAAGAATTGTATTTAAATGGGAGTTGGCTTGTTTTGAAAGTTAAATCTTTCCAGTCGTCGGTCTGTAACCGTGGCTGTGCAGCGGAAACGCGTCATCGGGATGCTCACAAACCTGGTTCGAATCACGCCAGGATGGCTGAGAAGACGATAATTTGCGGTTGAAACAGATTTCGAGTCTCGATGAGAAAAAAGTTTAAAAGGCAGTGTCAAGTTAAATGCATGTCTTTGTGGCAAAAACTCTAATCTTAGCCCATATACCACCTGAAAAGGTTTGAGGTTTGCATTATTTGATGCCCCTCCTCGTCGAAAAGGTGGATCCAAATTCGGGTTGCCTTATCGAAACATGAAATCAGCAAAGGATTCTTCATCATATAGAACATTATCTTCTATGTCTTATGAGTAGACCTAAGCAACCAATCAATCAATGATTATTTTGCGAAGTGATCTGACCTCGGTTTCTCAACTTGGTTTTGTTACCAGGGGGAAATAGTATGACAAAACTTATCCAAAGTCATATGCCATAGTATTCAGCAGAATCACCAGCATTGTAATATGAAGTTGGTACCTTCCCAGACGTTTGGCCGGCAACGCAGTCGGCATCGTCAGTGAATCCTACCATTTTAAGCACCAAGCGACAACTGACGATGTCGGCGAAACGTCTGGGAATGTACCAAATCCACATTTAAACGCTGGGTATTATGATGAATAGTATAGCAGAAGACTTCGTACAAGGTGTGCCCAACTATGTCACCTTGACAACAGGACCAAGTTGCGAAAACTAGGTCAGATCACTTCTCTACCTCGAAAGGAGACTGGTTTTTATGTGCAAACTTCTCTTATATCGCCTATTCTCACAGTTTGCAATACTCTGACCGCAGTCGAGGTCATATTTCTGGTGGACGAGTCCGTCTCGGCTCGACAACCCGACTACCCGGAAGGGGTGCGTCAACTGTTGCGCAGAGTCATCCTCCTCTTCGACAAGGCCGCTTCAGGCAATGGACAAGCCAATAACTACAGATTTGCCCTTGTCAAGTATGCCAGCCATCCCAGTGTCTTGCTCAACTTGGACGAGTTTGCGCCGGCCAGTTTGGTGGGTAGGAAGTCTGAAAATGGCAGCTTTGGAGCCGGGAAATTCGTACTCCACGTGGACAAGATGGGCTACCTGGGCCGAATGTCGAACCTGGGAAACGCTTTTCAGCTCGTCAGGGAGCAGGTGAGGATGACTTAGTGACAGTTTAAATGTCTGATTATTATTTTGAGAGACAAGCAGTTTCCGAGGCATACCTTCGGTAGCCAAAAATGGTAAAAACAGCCATTTAGGAGGCTAGAACCATCGTTCAGTTGCGTTTTTATGTTTAAGAATTTTCCCCTCCTCCTCATCACACACGGGGTCTGCGTTAACTACCAGGACCAACAAGCATTCTTTCATTCCGACTTTGCGTGCGCTGCCTCCAGAGACGATGAGTAACAAATTACAATTCATGGGCTGTAGATCGCCATTATACAAAGCACCATCTCTTCTAGACTCATGAAAGAAAAGCATACGTTCTCGACGTTATTTGGTCGAAATGCTCTACCAACCTCATCACAGGCGGCAGAAATAAAGATGGAGGTTTGATTTACTATTGAGGGTTTGCATACTACTTATATATAAACAATCACAACTGCAATAATCTGCATTGCAGAAGCATAAATACAAGTGATTTTAGTGTGGAACCAACTGTTCGTTCGCAAGTGTGTCCATTTCACACATTCCACTTTACCACTTAAATATATGGATTGCATGAAATAGCCAATCAAATCATGGGATATCGTATTTACTGAAT